TCCTGCTAGTTTACCAAAGTTATTTATCAGCTCTAGGACCTTGCAGATCGAATTTCTATGTTCCTTTAGATATTATCTTCAAATAGTGGTAGTTTGACTTCTTCCTTCTCTATTTAAATTCTTTTTATGCCCTTCTTTTGTCTCATTGCTCTGGCTAGGGATTCCAGTACTATTTTATTTTGAATAGGAAGGGAGAGAGTAGACATCCTTGTGTTTTACTGATTTTAGAAGAAATGTTTTCCTTTTTTCATCATTCAGTATTATGTTGGCTTTATGTTTGTCATAGATAACCTTTGTTATTTTGAGATAAAAGCAGCATTACAGTTCTGCCCGAAAACCTACATAGTGTATGCTTTTTTGTATATCAGTTGTTGCATTCTGTTAGCAGTTATTTTATTTTTCTTTTCTTTTGGGTCCGGTAGTGGGGCCTGAACTCTGGGCTTCGGCACTGTCTCTCAGCTCTTCAGCTCAAGGCTAGCACTCTACCACTTGAGCCACAGGCCACTTCTGGCTTTTTTCTTTTTGCTTATGTGGTGCTGAGGAATCAAACCCAGGCCCTCATGCATGCAAGGCAAGCACTCTACCACTGAGCCACCTTCCCAGCCTAGCAGTTATTTTATTAAGGAGTTTTGCATCTATGTTCATAAAAGAGATTGGTTGATATGTTTGGTTGTTTTTTGGTTGGGTCTCTGCCTGGTTTGGGGAATAATGTCATGTTGGCTTTATAAGAGTGAGATTAGTAGTGATAGCTTTTTAAAGGTCTTAAACGTCTTGTAATATTGGGTATGAATCCATTGGGACATTATGCTTTGTTGTTTGGAGACTATTACCTCTTTAGACTCAATGCTTTTATGTCTTCTTGGTTCAGTTTGGCAGCTCATATGCTTCTAGAAAGCTGGCCATTTTGATCCTAGCTACTCAGGAGGCTGAGATCTGAGGATGATGGTTCAAAGCCAGCCTGGGCAGGAAAATCTATGAGGCTCTTATCCCCACTTAATCACCAGAAAACCAGAAGTGGCACCTTGGCTCAAGTGGTAGACCACTAATCTTGAACTGAAGACCTCAAGAACAGCACCCAGGCTTAGAGTTCAAGCCCCACGACTGACAAAACAAAAACAAAAACAAACAGTTGGTTATTTCTTCTAAAGTTGCCTAATCACTTGACTATAAATTGTGAATCTAATCCCTCATACTTTTTTGGATTTAAAGTACATTTTTAAATTTCTAATTTAATTGATTTGTGCACTTTACCTCTCATTTTCTGGTGCCAGCTTTGAGCTTGAATTCAGGGCCTAAGTACTGTCACTGAGTATTTGTATTCAAGCGTAGTATTCTACCAGTTGCATTATATCTCTACTTCTGGCTTTGAGGATTAATTGGAGCCTGATTCTCACCACTTTTTTTGCTTTAGCTGCCTTCCAAACATGATCCTCATGTCCCAGCTTCCTGCGTATGTTGAATTACAGGTATAAGCCATTAGTACCAGACTCCCCCTTTTTTTGTCAAAATAGCTAGGGGATTTTCAATTTTATTAAATTTTTTCAATGAATCACTTTTGTTTCATTAAATCTTTGTATGGATTTTTAGTCTCTAATGCATTCATTTCTGTCTTGATTTTTACTCTCTCCATCTAACTTTTGTGTCTTTGTTCCTGTTTTTCTAGACGTTTCAGTTGCATCATAAGGTCATTTACTTGAGCAATTTCTGTTATTCTTATGTAGGCATTTATAACTATAAATTTTCCTCTCAATAATGATTTTGCTGTATCGTAGAAGTTTTTGGTAGCATCTGTTTTTATTTTCATTGGTTTACATAATTTTTTTGTCAGTGGTAGGACTTGGATTCAGGGCCTGGGCATTCTCCCAGAACTATTTTGCTCAAGGCTAGTACTCTACCATGATCAGCCACTGCTCTACCTCAGTTTTCTGGTGGTTAATTAGAGGTAAGAGTATTATGGACTGTCCTGCCTAGGCTGGCTTTGAACTTCAATACTCAGATCTCAGCGTCCTGAGTAGCTAGGATTACAAGCATGAGCCTGGCTGCAGAAACTTTTTTATTCTCTTTATTTCTTCAGTGACTCAGCTGTTGTTCAACAGTGTGTCATGCAGTCTGAATATTTGTGTCGTGCAGTTTGAATATTTTCTGTAGTATCTTTTGTTGTATTTTACTTTAATTCCATATGACCAGATAGATCACAGGAAACTATTTCTCAATGTTCTATGTATTTTCTCAAACTTGCTGTATATCTGAGGATATGATCTACTTTGGAAAAAAGTTCTAAAGGCTGTTGAGAAGAATGTGCATTGTCTGGTTACTGGGTGAAATACTCTCCAATCCAGTTGGCTGTGGTATTATTTAGTTCTGAGGTTTCTTTGGTGAGCTTTTGGTTATTTGGTCTATATTTTGGAAAAAGAATAAGATGTTAATGTCTCCTCCTATTATAATGTTAAGGTATATCAGTGTATATAAGCCCAGGAGTGTTTGTATGATAAATTTGGATATGCCACTATTAGAGGAATATATGTTGACCACTGGAATTTCTTCTTTTTGTGTCTTTCTTTGCTTCTTCTTACTGATTTTACCCTGAAGTCAATTTTATCAGATATAAGCATAGCTACTTGTGCCTTTGTCAGGATGCATTTTCTTAGAAGGTATTTTTTCATACCTTCACTATGAATTTGTGTTTATCTTTGACAGTGAGTTGTCTTTCTTGGAAACAACAGATGGTCAAGTCTTGTTTTGTTATCTAGGCTGCTGCTCTACAACTATTATTTACATACTTGAGCCTTTTACTATTTGTTACTATTGAGAAATATATTGTTTCCTCTCATTTTATTGTTTATGTGGTGGTTGCTTATTACCTTTTCCTGTTTTACTACCTAATCTTCTCACAGGGTTTTATAATGTTCTTGTATTTTTTGTTTTTATTATCTTCTTCTTAGGCTAGGATTCCTTTAGCTATCCCTTGTAGTGTGGTTTAGTAATGAATTCCTTTAGTTTTTGTTTGTCATGAAAAGTTTTACTTCTCTGTTAATATTGGATAATAACTTTGCTGAATACTCTAGTGAACTAGAAACCAGAGGCAACTAAAGGATGGGGAAAATGTAGAATATGTGGGACCTCTGCTATCTGGGTCACAGGGAGACCAAGAGAATTTGGCCATCCAGGTCATGGGGAGCCAAAGGGATTAGGGACCTTAGCCATCTGGATTTCAAGGAGTCAAAAGGACCTCATATATCCAGGTTAGTGGGAGGCCAAGAGTCCTCTGCTTTCTGTGTAATAGGCACCCCAAGGAAATTCGGCTAACTGGGTTATGGGGAGCCCAAGGTCCCTTGGCCATCTAGGTCACAGACAGCTCAAGAGAATCTAGTAATCCAGGTCATTGGGAACCCATGGGACCATGGCCATCTAGGTGACTGTGGGGAGGAAAGACCTTTGCTATGTAGGTCACATGGAACCCGAAAGACTTCAGCCCTCCAGTTCATCTGGGGTGTGAGGGACTTCAGCCCTCCAGATCACTGGGAGCCTTAGGGAATTTGGCCATGGAGTCATGGGGCGCCTAAAGGAATTCAGACATCTGGGACATAGGGAGCCTGAGAGAATTTGGCCATCAGGTTGCTGGGAGCCCAAGAGACTTCAGCCACTTAGGGTCACTGGGAGAATGAGTGAAGTAGGATATTTGAATCACTGGGAGCCTGAAGGAATTAGGCCATCTAGGTCACTGAGAGGCTGAGGGAATTCAGCCATTTGGTCACTGGGACATCAAGGAAATTTGCCCATCAGGTGACTGCAAACCCCACAGCCGGCTATCTGAGAAACTGGGAATAGGAGGTATCATGGACATAAGGGATCTCAGCTATCCATGTCACCTGCAGTTTAAGGGAATTCCATCATCTTGGTCACTGGGCACAAGAGGTACCCTCAACCATCCCGGTCATTGGGAGCCCAAGGGACCTTAGCTATCCATGTCACCAGGAGTCTAAGGGAATTCGACCATCTGAGTCACTGAGAATTGGAGATATCTCGAAAATATGGGTCACTGGGAGTGAGGGAATGGGGCTTCAGCCATCCAGGTCATTGGGGGTGGGGGAAGCTCAGCCATCCAGGTCATTGGGATTGGGCGCGACCTCGAGCATCAGGATCACTGGGAGTGGGGGAGGGGTCTTGGTCATCTGGATCACTGGGAGTGTGAGAGGGGTACCTTGGCCATCCAGGTCTCGGCGTGCCACCAGACATGGGCCCTCCAGGGAAAGGGAGCCAGAGGAATTTCCACCATCTAGGTTACAGAGCATCCAAAGGAATTTGGCTATTTAAGTCACTGGGAATCCAAGTTACCTTGGACATCTGGGTAACAGGAAGCCTGAAGGAATTCTTCTGGGTCAACAAAAGCCTAGGGGAATTATCCATCTTGGTGATTGGGAGCTCTTGTGCCCTCAACCATCCAGGAGGAGGGGAGGGGGTTAGAGGTAATTCTACCATCCGGGTCACTGGGAGACTGAAGAAATTCAACCGTTTGAGTCACGGGGCGGGGGTGGGGAGGCGGTGGTGCGTGGGTGGCTGAGGGGCCTCAGACATCTGGGTTGTTCTGAACCTGAGGGACTTGTGCTATTCATTCAGGTTAGGAGGAGCCCAAGGAAATTCCTTATTCTGGGTCACCGAGAGCCTGAAGGAATTAAGCCATCCAGATCACTGAGACCTCAAGGTACTTCAAATATTCAGGTCACTGGGAGCCAAAGGTATTAGGCAATCTAGGTCACTGGGAGCCTGAGGGTACTGGCCACCCAGATAACCAGGTTCTGAGGAAATTTGGCCAATGGCATATCCAAGAGGCCCTGGGACCTCGACTCTCCAAGTCACTAGGAGCCCGCAGGACTTTGGCCATCTGCTCACGTGAAACCTCAGGGTCCTGGACCATGCTGGTCACCAGGAACCCAGAGAGAATTAGACAATCCCAGTCACTGAGAACCCTAGGGAAATAAGCCATCCAGGTCACAGGGAGCATGAAGGATATCTGCCATCCAGATCACAGGGAATTCAAGGAACTAGACAGTTCAGGTCAGTGGTAAGCCAGACGTGTTCAGAGATACGGGTCACTGGGACCATGAGGGAACTCGGAATGGGAAGTAACTGGGAGATTTGAGTAACTGTGAGCAGGAGGAATCTGAGTGAGCTCAGAGTTTTAAGTAAATCGGAGCCTCATGGAGGGCCAAGTATCACAGGGACAGGGGGAACTTGAGATCAGGACAACGTGGAATTTGGGGACGCTTGGAGATGGGATAAGAGATGCGGGTAATTTAGAGACTAAGATAACCAGGAGTTCTACAAAACACAGAGATCTGGGTAACTAAGTAGATGTGTTAATAATCTGAAAGTCAAGAAAACTCAGAGCTCAAGGGAATTCAGAGATTTAGGTAACTCAGATACTAGAATAACATTGAGACTCAAGGGAACTAAGAGAAATACGAGATAGCTCATAGGTCTGGGAAATTTGGAGCTCTAGGAAAACTTCAGAGCTCAACATAACTTGGAACTCCAGGGAACACAGAACTCTGGATAGCTAAGAACTCCAAAGAATTTGGAGATTAAGTGAACTAAGATATCAGGGTAACGAAGCTGGAGAGAAGTACAAGATGTTAGTAACTCAGAGCCTTGGGGAATTTAGAGATCCAGGGAACTTGTAGCTTGAGGGAACAGAGAGATCCAGGGAACTGGAGATCAGGGTAACTGGGAGATTGGAATAAGTCATAACTCAAGAGAACTCTAGGCCTGGGTAACCTGGAGTTCAGGGGAACTGGGAGACTAAGGGAACTCAAAGATCTAGGGAACTTGGAGCTCAAGAGAAGCTTTAGAGAACTCAGATCTGGTAACCCAGATATTCAGAAACTTGGAAATCCAGGTATCTCAGCAGACCTTGCCTCTCCAGGGAACTCAGCTCCTTTGGGCTGGCCAGGCATGTGAGTCCACTGACTTGTACTTATGGAGCTGATTGATCTAAGGTAGAGTAGGCTGACTCAAGCTGAATCCATTGACTATTCTTCTGGCTCCTGGAACTTTGAAGGTGGTGCATGAAGCTGAGAGAAACATCACCACCAAACCTCTGGGGCCTTTGCAGCAAGCTCTTAATAGGAATTGAAAGGCTTTGACTGCTAAGGTTCTGAGTAAGATTTTTCTGACACTTTCAAGTAGGCAAATTACAATAGCATCAGTTACAAATTATAAGTGTTCTGGCCTAAATTATCTATGATCAATGTGTAAGTAGATTAATAGGAAAGCAATCTAGCTAGATTTTTCAACAGTGTGCTTGGTGAGCATTCTGTAACTTGACTTATGTTTGATTACCTTTAGTTGTCTAATAGTTTCACACTGTCTTTTAAAAATTCTCCCAATTTTGTCTAAGTGGTATAGTGCCTGTCTAGCAAGTGCAAAACACTGAGTTCAAATCCCAGTACTGAACAAAATTCCTAGCCTTGCTCTCTTTCTTTAAAAAGTTGTATTCCTTCTCTAATCTTAGTTTGTTTATGGTTAATATTTTTACCAGGCTTTTAAATGGTGTTTACTATGTAGATATCTACCTATTTATTGTATTCCATTTATATTACGTTTAAGCATATTTCTTTTTTATTTTGTTATTTTTATTGTGAAAATGTTTAAGCATATTTCATGTGAAGAGCAAATACGTATTTTCAACTACATGTTGTGGATGACATTTTTCATTTCTTATGGAGCATTTCAAAAAGATAACCTTTTTCCTTTTGTTTTTGACACAGGGTCTCCATATATACCCTAGACTGGCTATGAAATTGGTGATCTTCCTGACTTAGTCTACCATCCAAAGTGCTGGAATTACCCTTGTATACCACCATGATGGGCTGATTTAATACTTTTTAATGTTCTTTTATGAAATAATTTGAAACTTTCAAAAATTGTACTGAGTACCTTCACTCAGATCTCCCTATTTTTAGTGATGTTCATAGCCATAAAAATCACCCAAACTGGGCTGGGAAGGTGGCTCAGTGGTAGAGCGCTTGCCTTGCATGCATGAGGCCCTGGGTTTGATTCCTCAGCACCACATAAGCAAAAAGAAAAAAGCCAGAAGTGGTGCTGTGGCTCAAGTGGTAGAGCGCTAGCCTTGAGCTGAAGAGCTGAGGGACAGCGGCCAGGCCCAGAGTTCAGGCCCCACAACTGGACCAAAAAAAAACAAAAACAAAAACAAAAACCAAAAAAATCACCCAAACTGAGACATTAACAGTATTCCAGCGTAAATAAATAATCTATGGACTTAGCTTGAATTTCATCATTTATCCTATTAATGCACCCTTCCCCCATTCCAGGGATCCTATTCAGGAGTCTGCATTGTATTTGGTCTTTCACATCTGTGACATTTTGGAAGAGTCCTGGTCAGGTACTTTTTAGAACATATCTGAGATTGGTTCATCTGATAATTACAACTAGATTTAGGTTATATATCCCTGGCAAGAATATCCATTTTATTGTCCTTCCACTCACCTCATTGGTGAGGGGAAGATTTACACCATAATGTTTTGTAGGTGGCCAAAGATATATCATACCTGAAACTAAACAGATCAAATACACAGTGACATTTACTCAGAGACTAGGGGAGCAAAGAACCACATAACAGGAAAAAACACACATATCACTTTCTGGAAGAAAGTAAGCAAACAGAGGTTGTGTGTATAGTCTTGGTTCCAAGAGAATGAAAGGACCTTTAATTCCTCGAGGATTGATTGACCTGATTATTACTGTGGACTGGTGGGAAACATGTTATAGTCAAAGACAAGTAGGAACTGTCTTGAAGTCCAGAGGATACTCTGAGCTATTGAGAGGTACTCTGACGGTCAGATCACTTTCATAAGAATATGATAAACAGGAAAACTGTTGGTTTGACTAGTCAAAGGCTTCTTAATTTCCTACAGAAGTCAAGGCAAGACTATTACGGGACTTTCCTTTTAGATCTCAAACCACATGAGTATAAAAGTGATGGTGTTCCTTTCTCCTTACATCATGCCAGAGATTACTATGATGTTTGCTTTGAATAATTTGTTCAAATGGTAGTTATGTCACTCCACTTTAATGTTGCTGTATTCTCCTTTGTTACTAAGCAAGAGGGTGAGGAAAACAATTCAACACTGAAAATATCTTGTTTTATTTCAGAATTTGGTCCACTGGTTTTAGAATCCACCTAAGAGGGATCTTTCCTAAAATCGATGTTGCCTAAGTGATTTTTTTTTCAGGGTCCTTGGTACTGCTTCAATGTTCTACATGTCTGTTTCTATGGGAGTACTGTGTTTTCTTTTCCTTTTACTAAGGTTCTGTAATATTTCAAATTAGGTATTGTGCTAACTCTAGCATTGCCATTTTTGTTTAAGATTGCTTTAGTTATTAGGTGTTTTGTGTTTCCATATGTGTTTCTGGTTTGTTTTTCTTAGTGACATTCTGTGAAGATAGTCATTGGGATTTTGACAGGAATTGCATTGACTATGTAGATCTTTTCTTCAGTATAGTGATTTTCACAGTTACTTCTGCTGTTTTATGGACATAAATGCCTTTCCATCTTCTAGTGTCTTCTTTATTTATTTATTTTTTTTGGGTCCGGTCATGGGGCCTGAACTCTGGGCCTGGGCGCTGTCCCTCAGCTCTTCAACTCAAGGCTAGCACTCTACCACTTGAGCCACAGCGCCACTTCCGGCTTTTTTCTTTTTGCTTATGTGGTGCTGAGGAATCGAACCCAGGGCCTCAGGCATGCAAGGCAAGTGCTCTACTACTGAGCCACCTTCCCAGCCCCTCTTTAATTACTTTTTAAGTGTTGTATAGTTTTCATTGTAGAGAACTTTCAACTCCTTACTTGGCGTTATTTCCTATGTATGCATGAGGCTACTGTGAATGGTACCTTTTTCCCAATTTGTTGATTTCTTTCTCAGTATGCTGCTTGGTTATTGGTGTGTTAAAAAGCTACTGAAAGCCTGGCACTGGTGATACACATCTATAATCTCAGCTACTCAGGAGGCTGAGATCTCAGAATTGCGGTTTGAAGCTAGCCCAGGCAGGAAAAGTCCGTAAAATGCATCTCCAATTAATTCCAAAAAAATATCCAGAAGTGGAGCTGTGGCTTATATGGAAGAGTGCTAGCCTTGAGCAAAAAAGTTCTGGAACAGCATCCAGGCCCTGAGTTCAAGCCCCAGGTCCAACCTAAAGAAAAGATACTGAATTTTTAGGATAAAGTAGTTACTCTAGTACATTGCTAAAGGTGTTTGTTCAATTAAAAGTGTTTTTCTTGTGGATACATATGGCTCATTATAGATTTGATCATATGAAAATGGGGGTACTTTCATATCTTCCTTTCATATTTTTATCTTTTTTTGTATATCCTGGGGCTTGAACTCTGGGCCTGGGCACTGTCCCTAAGCTTCTTTGCCTCAAGGCTAGTGCTCTACCACTTGAGCTACAGCACCACTTGTAGCTTTTTCTTAGTAGTTTATTGCAGATAGAACTCTCACAGACTTTTTTCCAGGCTAGTTTTGAACCACTATCCTCAGATCTCAGCCTCTTGAGAGGCTAGGATTACAGCCGTGAGCCTCCAGCACCCAGCTTTTTCTCCTTTCTTGTGTGTCTTTTGCTTGATGATAGAAGCCAAAATTTCAAAGTACTCTATTAGAGTGTTAAGAGTGAATCCCTTTACTTGTTCCTGATTTTAGAAGAAATATTTTCAGTTTTTACTTATGTAAAATATCATCTATAACTTTTTCATATGTTGAATCATGTCCATCTATGCCTAGTTTCTTTGGACTTTTATCACAAGTGTTGAATTTTATCAAAGGCTTTTTTTCTGAATCAATTTTTGATATAATGGTGTGATTTTTGCCCCTGATTCTATTTATTTGCTCTATTATTTGCATATGTTGTATCATTCTTGCCTCCTTGGGATTAAACCAACTTGATCATATGTATGATGCTCTTAATGTGTTAGTGAATTTGATTTGCAAGTATTTTACTGGAAATGTTTACAACTGTGTTCGTTAACAAAATTTGTTTATAATTTTCCTT